GTTGTGGTGGTTGCCTATGGTCCCAGCTACTTGGGAGGCAGAGGCAAGAGACTCGCTTGAGCCCAGGAGTTGTAGGTTGCTGTGAGCTGTGATGCCACAGCACTCTACCCAGGGTGACAGCTTGAGGCTCCGTCTCAAAAAGAAAAAAAAGAATCTACTTTTAATATCTAACTGGCTGCGGGGAGCAAGTTGCTGCAGAGGAAAACCAAACACAGAGTCAATTTTTTTTATTTGTTTGTTTGTTTTTGTTTGTTTGTAGAGACAGAGTCTCACTTTATTGCCCTCCATAGAGTGCAATGGCGTCACACAGCTCACAGCAACCTCCAACTCCTGAGCTTAGGTGATTCTTTTGCCTCAGCCTTCCAAGTAGCTGGGACTACAGGCACCCACCACAATGCCCGGCTATTTTTTTGTTGCCGTTTGGCCGGGGCGGGTTTGAACCCATCACTCTTGGTATATGGGGCCAGCGCCCTACCCACTGAGCCACAGGCACCACCCCACAGAGTCAGTTTTAATTTTAACTCCACCAGTTCACTGGGACTAAAACTGGGACCAGCCCAAACTAAGCTGCAAACTCAAGTAGCTGCAAACTAAGCCTACTCTTTAACAAAATGTCATTACTTTGTAGGTATAAGAGTCAAAAGCTGCAAGTCTTGTAGCCTGGGTATATGCAATAGAAAAACCTTGACCTCTATCAAACACCCAGAACCAGTGATTCTTCCCCTTGGAATCAAGAAGACCAAGCAAGACATTACCAGAACCTGTACACCAGAACTCTTTTACAAGTCAGGCATCAGTTAGCCCAGAACATTTGGGACTAAGATGTGCCTCAGCGTGCCTTACTGTAAATGGCTAAATGTGAAGCCCCACCAGTCAGACCGTGATAAGTCAACATTTCTAAACCTTTCCCCTGGTACTCCAAACCCATAAACTTGTCCCAGACCTCAAATTGGGGACATAGATTTGAGCCTGCCTCCTGTCTCCTTGCTGGTGGCCCTGCAATCAAGGCTTTCTTTTCTCAAAAGACAGTACCATAATATGGCACATCTCCTGGGTGCAGGACCCAACTACAACAGGGACTCTACCTAACACATGCAAACTCCTTAACCTAATTGTTTTTACCTTCACATTAATCTGAAATTTTTAAAGTGCTAGTTTTATAATAGGAGCTCCTAGACAAGTGACCTCTCTGGTCTTGGTTCCTTTTCTGGTGAGTGAAGGGTGCAAATTTAACTGCCTGCAGGGGACAAGTAGGAGGGTAAACAGTAAAGTAGGACAATTTTGAGGTATTTATTGGGGAGCAATGTGCCTGTGGTGACCTGAAAGGCTCCCATTCTACCAAATGGGTTGCAGATTCTGGTTTTTCAAGTGCAGCAATGAAAAAGAGAAAAGCAACTCCTGACAGCTGGGAGCTGGTTTATACTCTCCCTACAGAAGGCTTGGTGTTGCTATGAACTGGCCTGGCACCAACAGGGAGGCTGTTGTGTTGTTCTGTTAAGCAATTAACAGTTTCACAGAGCAGTGCCTGTGGCTCAAAAGGGTAGGGCGCCAGTCCCATATGCTAGAGGTGATGGGTTCAAACCCAGCCCCGGCCAAAAAAAAAAAAAAAAACAGTTTCACAAAACACCAACATCAGACAAGGTCATTCTTTGACTGATGGAACAAGAAAAAGACCATTCCATAATCATGTGTCAACACAAAAGTACGAACATTACCCAAACCACAAAAATGACCAAATGCAACCTCATCTTCCATAGTGTAAGTGACTCCTGCTTTACCAAGTAATTCTTTATCCCTGTTTTATTCCTCCCATTGTCTAGATAAGAATTATTATACTAAATGTGGCTGATGTTTGTAATCTTAGCACTCTGGGAGGCCAAGGTGGGTAGATTGCCTGAGCTCAGGAGTTTGAGATCAGCCTGAGCAATAGCAAGACCCTGTCTCTACTAAAAATAGAAAAACTAGCCAGGTGTTGTGATGGCACCTGTAGTCCCAGCTACTCAGAAGGCTGAGACAAGAGGATCCCTTGAGCCCAGGAGTTTGAGGTTTCTGAGAACGAAGGCCACAGCACTCAACCCCAGGACAATTGAGTGAGACCCTGTCTCAAAACAAAAATAATAAAATAAAACAACAACAACAAAATCAGCTGGGTGTGGTCACCTGTGCCTGTAATTCTAGCTACTTGGGAAGCTGAGATAGGAGGATCCCTTGAACCCAGGAGTTGAAAGTAGCAGTGAACTATAATTGTGCTACTGTACTCAGCTTGGGCAACAGAGTGAGACCCTGACATTAAAAATAACTAACTAAATAAATAAATATTAAGATGACCAAAGGAATTATCTCTACTTCCCTGATAGCATCCAACCAATAGCAAATCTTCCATTTTTGAGCCCTCTTAGGAAATCACCTAACACACACCCAAATCTTGTGATAAGTCCTTCCTAACATACACGTACTGAGATTGCCATGGTTCCCCAAGGTGTTCAGTCTTCATCATTCAACTATAGGTGCTTCCTGGTGGTCTTTGGCTGGAGAGCTTTGTTAGAAATGGAGGATCCACAGAGATTCAACTGAAGGCCTCACTGCCTTGGCCTGAGATCCTTGACTCTAGTAACTGTATTCACATCTAAAATCCCTTGTGTACCTGAGGTGCCATTCTACCAATGAGTGGGAGGTAAGTTCTCAATGAATTGAGCTCTGATACTTTATTGAAACTCTTAAACATTGGGTTTATTTGGGGAAAAAATTTTTTTTCAAATTTTTTCACTTTTTAACTTATTTCACTTATTAACCCTTGGTAGAGTGCCATGGCATCACAACTCACAGCAACCTCCAACTCCTTGGGCTTAGGCGATTCTCTTGCCTCAGCCTCCTGATTAGCTGAGACTACAGGCGCCTGCTACATCGCCCGGCTATTTTTCTGTTGCAGTTTGACCGGGGCTGGGTTTGAACCCACCACCCTCGAGTTCGAGTCTCCCACCCTGGGAGACTGAGATAGGAGGATCCCTTGAACCCAGGAGTTGAAAGCAGTGAGCTATAATTGTATATATACAACCCTCAGTATATGGGTCCGGCCCCTTACCCACTGAGCCACAGGCACTGCTCAATTTTGAAATTTTTTTTGAGACAGAGTCTCACTTTGTAACCCTAGCTAGAGTGCAATGGAATCATCATAGTTCACTGCAACCTCAAACTTCTGGGCTCAAGTGATTTTCTTGCCCCAGCCTCCTGAGTAGCTGGGCCTATAGGCATGTGACACTGTGCCTGGCTAGTTTTTCTTTTTTCTTTTTCTTTTCCTTTCCTTTTCCTTTTTTTTTTTTTTTTTTTTAATAGAGACAGGGTCTTGTTCTTGCTCAGTCTAGTCTTAAATTCCTGAGCTCAAGCAATCTTCCTGCCTCGGCCTTCCAGTGTGAGCCACTATTTCCAGCCTTGGATCAGATTTTTGTTTTATCCTTGGTGAAATTGTTTTCTGTCTTCCTACACATGTCCCTATGGTCTGTTGTCTGGTATTTTGAATTTTGTTTGTCTATAATAGGAAAAGTCTACCCAGAAAGGTCAAGTGTGTAGCCCTGGGTGCATAAGAACATGACAAACTTACTCAATTTCTGATTACTAACAGTAACCAGAAGTTGGGGACGTCAGCTGTTCAGGGATCTTGTAACTAGTTAGTATCCTAGAGTCTCATTTGTTATCAGAATTGACCAGACAAATCATCAACTAAGCACCAGGAAATCTGTTCCGTAACCAGCTCCAGAGGCTGTATAATTCAGAAAGTATTCT